TTAGAGAAGAACCCGTCCAGAAGACCTATACAATTTTTTTTCTTTTTGTTAAATTTACTCAACAAAGTCATGTCAACTGGCTCCACTATGCTTGGTTGAGTAAATTGAGCAAAGAATATACATAAATTGCTCAATTTTACTTATTTTTAAAGCAGTTTTATGACTTTTACTTTAGTTGTTTTCTCATCATGCTTTGTTCACATGCAGACATTCCCCTTTGACATCACTTCCTGTTACTTCACATGCAAATATCTCAACAACCGTTCATCTCAGCYYCGTGAAATCTTTTTTAAATATGTTATCAGTGTTATCTTTCCAAAAATACATTCATGTTTATTACAAAAAACTGATGTCACAGGCACTTTAAACAGCACATTATTAGCTTTTAGTTAACAGAAACAGAACACTAGCTAAATGCTAAAGGAAGCACATTAGTTTAAAGGTAAAATAAAAGCAATAGTTTTAAAATAAGCACAAAAATAGCTTAAAGAAAACTTGTTTAAAGCTAAAAGACAACGCTTAAAGCTAAAAAAAGCAGAAAAGTAGCTTGAAGCTATAAAAAATACAGACAATATGATGAGAAAAATTCAGAGAGAAATTTTTTTAAAACAGTTAAAGGGAGCTTAAAGTATTTTAGGGAAAATATTTGGAAATGTGAAACACCCATGAATGGGTTATCAACATCTAAAACAGATCAAAGGATTTAGTTACACTGGGGAAAAATAAAAATAAAAAAGAATTGTAGATGCTGACAAAAACACTTTTTTCTTTATTGTAATAAATTTTGTTCATGTTTCATATTTTGTTCCATTTCAGAAACAAGCCTGTTTCTTTTCATGTTGAAACTTGTAAAAGCTGTCAAATGGATTTGATCAGTTCTGCTTGATGGACTCTGTCCACCACATGTTTGTGTCTCCACTGGAGTCTGGACACAAACGCTCTTCCTGTCCRGTCGCTGCAGCAACGGAGAAAGTCAACACAGCCTGACTGACCTCACAGAGTTTTATTTGCATCTTGTAATAAGGAGCACAGATGTTCAAATCAAACAGTCGCTTTGGCTTTAAAACTTATTTCTTTAGCTTTTCTTTATAGCTTTGGGAGAAGGAGCTCTCTAGAATCAACCAATGAATCAAAGAACAACTAATTAAGACGCTATTTATTTAGTGACATCTCAAAAAGAAAAACAAACAAATAAAAAAATGACATGACATTTTTTTTACCAGGAATGCTTGTAAATGATGTGGCTGTGTGATAAAAGTTATCCAACAGGTTTATAATCTGTGTAAAAAAATGTTTCTTTTAGTTAAAAAATGCATTAAGTGATGTTTTTTTGTCCAATCTGGCTGTTTACAGTCATTAAAGTACCTGTAACATCAAGTGTTTGTAATAAACACAAATGCGTTTTTGGAAAGATAACATTGATAACATTTTTGCAAAACTAATTTCACGTCGCTGAGATGAACGGTTGTTGAGATATTTGCATGTGAAGAAACAGGAAGTGATGTCAYAGGGGAATGTCTGCATGTGAACACAGACTGTAGAGAAGAATCTGATGTTTTGTTAGATTATTTTTAGTCGCTAGAGACGAAGTGGAGTTAAAGTTTAAATAATTTGGTTTTAATAAACAMAGACCAGCAAGTTTATTTCATTAATGAGTTCCCCTTTGATGTCACTTCCTGTTTCACTTCGGCTGAGCCAAATTTAAAAGAAAATAGGCCAATTATGTGACAAAATGGGTAAAATCATGTGTAATATGCCAATTTTCTTAAGTATAAAGATGCTTTATTCGATTTTTTTATTTTTATTTTTGTATTTGAAGGATATATGTCACCGGCAATTTCAGAAATGTTGGACTCTTTGGACAGCTGTTGGATCAGATAAGAGCCTCTGAGAGGCAGAAATGTGTCTGATCACTGAGKAGAAAACAGCTCGTCTCTCTGTCAGCTTTTACGTCTGAAACATCTTTTTTTCCTCACAATGGAGCAGGGTGGGTGATGGGGGACATCTGTAACCCAGACAACCAGCCGAACCAGAACAAGAGAGCAGATCTGAGACAATCTGCTGTCCTGATCCTGATCTGTGCTGACGGCTGATAAAAACACTGAACATGTTTAATTAAACATCCTGAGCTGGTGACATAATAACATCAGGACTGATGCTCACATTTAGGTTAAACACATAAAATAATGTTTGTTTRTCTTCTCAGGACCCTCAGCAGGTTCATATATAAACCAGATCCCACCTTTGACACGCCTGCTGAACGTCCTCATCAACAGGAGACTCGTCCATCACTATGGCGTCTGTGCTGTCTCTGACCGGGACAGGGTCCATCCTCCCCGCCTCCACCTGCAGGGGGTCTCCGGGTCTCCTGTCAGTGCGGGATCATGATCGTTCCGTGCTGCTTCATCTTCCCTCCGCGGAGAGCGGCTCCTTAATCTGCCTCGAGCTGCGCGCTGATTGGCTGACAGCCGCTGTGACGCTGCAGCGCGCACTGTCCAATCAGAGGCCGCGGTCTGGACCGGAGGCTGAGGGCTCGAGACACAGAGCTGCAGCTGCAGACCTTACTCAAGTTTAAAAACATGCAAAATGTCAAAACAAAACAAAAAAACAGCTAAAAGTCTCAAATCTTTAGCTAAAAGTAGCTAAATTCAAATTAAAAGCTAACAGTAAGTGTAGCAAAAAGATTGCTAAAAGTGAAAAGTAGAAAAAAATAAAAAGCACAAAGTAGCTAAATGCTAGGTAAAAGCAGAAAAACTGCATCTAGAATATACAAATACAGCTTAAAATATGTTAGCCCAATTCGACAACAAGTAAAACAACAGACATTTTGTGATAAAATAAATTTTTTTCAACCTTTTGAACTAAGTTTCTGTGGAGGAAATAACACCAGCATTGGGGGAGTTGAAACCTGAGAAGTATGAGAATTAAAAAAGATCAAATATCTGACCATAAATGAAATATTTATCTTCTTTTTGTAGCCAGACTACAGGAAGTTGTAAACATTTTAATATGAAGTTTCAAACAAGAAACCTTTCCTGTGAAGTATAAATGATGCAGCTCAACTTATTTTCTGTCTAAGTTTTATCTGAATACTTTAGAAATTCATGAAATAAAGATTTCCAAGCTTGAGTAAAAGGAAAATGTAAAACTGTTCTGTTGGTTTAAAGTTAATCAGAAAAGTGACACYTCACCTTCCTGTTAACGAAGTGACTGCTGCTCTGCTTCTTCTTAGAAATATGAATCATGGCTGCAAACTCACATTACTCACCTCTGAGGGGAGAGAAGAAAACGAGGGATGGAGGGAGGACAAAAGATTAAAAAAAAGGGTGCGAGAACATTTAGGATAAGATCAGACAGACAGTGACTCACAAACTGAAACACATCTCTGTGTGAAACCTAAAACCTAAACCTCCACAAACCTGCTGCTGTTTGTGGTTGTTTAATGAACAGATGACATCTTGTTGACTTCAAACACTGACTTTAGCTGCTCAGTCTGACACACACACACACACACATCCAGAGGCTCAGTACTGTAAACCAAACACACACACAGAAAAATGAGAGGCTGAACAAAGAGGGGCCGCTTCTGAAGTGACAGCCGTGCTAATTTCCTGTGGCAGAGTTCTGCCTCTGAARGAGGACAAGAACAGAAACGCTTCATTAGAGCTGCAGATCTGACATGTGGTCCAGGAACGGCTGGTTCCACACAGACAGAGGAGAAAAACATCATGTTTATCTGTGAAATCAGGCTTTTATCTCAGAACAGCCCCGCTGATAAAAGAGTTTGAGTTGTTGGGGGGTCTTAMACGTGATGATGATGAAGATAGATCTGGTCTGAGTGTTGGACTAAACGAACAAGATCCAGGAGACAAGCAGCTGAAATGAGCTTAGTGTGAGGACAYGAAACAGAGCACTAAAAGAAGTAAAACTTTGGCTTAAAGCTAAAAACATAGCTTAAATATGAAAAAGCCCATATCTTTAAGCTTAAAGAAAAGGAATAGTTAATGGAGCACAAAAAATACTTAAAGAAATTTCGAGAAGGTGACTCTGCTCCTCTGCACAGAAACGAGTCACCTTGAGGTGGTTCAGGCATCTGATTAGGACAACGTCCCTTCTGAGGTTTTCTGGGCACGACCCACTACAGACCCAGAACTCAGGAGGGATTGTTTCTCCTCTCTGGTCCGGGAACACCTGCAGAAGTCAGGGTTTTCCTCCTGAACCTGTTGCCTCAGAGACCGGACCATGGATAAGCTGCAGAAGAAAGAAAACCTGAAGCATCTGAGCCTCAGGACAACTAAAAGACATAAAAAAGTCAAACTAATTGTTATTATTATTTCAGGGCCATCATGTAAGACCGTACAATAACTTTTATAGTCTAAGCTAAGCTGCAGGGCGTTTAGCAACATAAAAGTAAAACAGTATAAGTTACAGTTTTAAAAAAACTTTACAACATTAAGACAATAAACAGACTTAAAAATGGATCGTAACATCATTTAAAAGGAATAAAAGCAAAGCAAAGAAAAAGCAACAAAATGAATTTATTTCCTACTTGTTTTCTTATCTTCACTTGGGCTTTTAAAATTGCTGTTGTGCTTTGTAAGATTTTAGTTTTACTCTTACATTTATTTGAAAAATATAAAAAAAAGTCTCATCAAAAATGGACACTTTACTGCCATCTAGTGGACAGATAGTAGAGATGACATTACATTTTCTTCTTCTTCTTCTTCTTCTTCTTCTTCTTCTTCTTCTTCTTCTTCTTCTTCTTCTTCTTCTTCTTCTTCTTCT